TCCACTTTTCAGCCTCTACTCCGACATGCACACTGAAATTGTCCATTGAAAATGATGGATTCAGTAGTCAGTGCTGGCAAGGCTCTTTCTACTTCATCTAGGAAGGATTGCGTTCTCCGAATAGACCGTACCGATGTGTAACAAGGTCAAAGCTTTGGCATGCTGCAATTTCAGCGGAATGACTGCTGCTCTTCTGCTGACCAGCGTCCATTCAGTGATTCCGACAGCCAGATCGTGTTCTACCAGATGACCTACCTGAGCGCGGTCATTGAGTCGACATTTAAGTAGACTGGCGTCCACCCGCATAGGATCAGAATTTCAGAGTTTTGGAGCTTCGTTGTCGAGTGTCAGTCTATATATGAATTAGTTTCTTGCAACCTCATCAACTGACTTCTGCTCTTATCTCTCAGTGAGGAGATTTTCCAGCCTCGGACTGTGAGGTCCCACTTTCGGTATCGTCCTCATGGTACCTTATATGATGCTATAATGTCATTTCGCTGTCTTTCCCTCCGTTCAGAACGTAGCAGCAGCGGCTCCGCTGACTGTACGTTTCTCATGTTCTTGTCGATCTTCAGCACCCGAAGCCGTAATGCTATGCCCTCAGCTGCTAGTAGACGAGAAGCAGGTTCTGATCGTGAACTTTTTGCAGTCTCCCTCATCTGCCGAGCGGCCTACGTGGCCTCGAACAAACCAGGTGACGAGAACAGATGTAATGTTCGAGAGCGGCAATGCCGTCAGACACAGGAGGCCAAGTTTTGCGGGCAAGACTAAATGCAGAGTGTTTAAATACAGCACCATTTAAACAATCATAATATCCGCTTTAAGCAAGGGTTCGTGATTACAGTTTAAATGCATCTCTGAAAGGCTAATTATTCTTACTACAGCTCTAATACTTTTGTCAGAGGTATATTTTGCAGATACTCTAATAGCTGATATTGATAATCACAGATTTAGAAGTGTTATGTGAAGTGTTGAGATAAATCGAAAACATAACCCGATGTTCTGCAGTAGACTCCACTAGTGGGAGCTTTCGCTATTACATTATCAAGTGTTAAGGTAAACAGTAGACTTAGGTGATTTTTCATAGATTGCAACAGAGAAGGAACCATTGTAAATCCACATAATAGAACTGCGGAAAAATGCTCCTTCTGTAGTGTTCGTATTCAGTAATGAATCACATTCAGTTATTGGTCATATTTATTGCAGTTAGCAGATTCGAATTACCGCGATATTCTAATGTTGGTTTTATTCTGAAATGCCTTAGGTTAATTGATGGTGTTCATCTAAGGCATAAATTGAGATTTTCTGTTCTCATAAATCCTTGCTATGTTCAGGTGCAATAACTCTTCAGTGCCTTCTCACAGCTTCAGGCCATAACATGGTCAGTCTGTATCATTGCATTTCAGAATATTCGGTCATCAGCGCTGTTCTTTTTTAATATTCGCTTCAGATTTTCAAGGCTAGTCATGAAGACGCTTTCAAATAAGATATTTTGTTTCATTATTAACTATTCTTTCATTTTTCACAAATCATCAATAAACCTGTGGTCTGTTCGAGAAGCTCTGCTTCCGCCAGTAGTCAGAATCTACGCCAGGTAGGGCTATTAGTAGTAGATTGCTTTTTAAACTTTCTCAAAACCTTTCATCCATAGGTCGAGTCAGTGACGTTCCAATGAACATAATGTTCTTGGGATTGAAGCAGATTAACTTTCACAGCCGCATCGACTCAAAGATTTTGAGGAGTTAAGAACGCTACTCACTGAACAGCAACGAACTCAGCGATCTTCTCTTCGACATGTAAGTTAGAAAAATGAACTAGTTTCCGTGACTTACCAGAGAGTCTGAAAGTGTGATGAAGCTTGACAGAAATGTTTCTCGCAAACACCATAGCACACAAACGATGTATATCACACCGGATTTTCGGTAATGAATTACTCACCGATAATGTTTGGAAAATTATCAAGCATGTGAATATTACATTTGAGTAAGTAGCCTCAAGATCACAAAACGGAAGGAAAAAGGAATGTTTATAATGGTTGGAATATCGATCTTCCTTACGCTTTCACGATAGGGCTATTCCTGGTGTCCTTTAATTCATGAAGTCGGTGGTGAGGTCTGGTCTCCACTCACACGTCATCAACCAGGAGTGGCTTATTTGAAACTCAGAGTCGAAGCAGCTTGTTGCAAGCATAGTTTCCTGTACCCTTGCCACAAAGTGGTATTCATTGATCAGCATCATTAGACAACATAGAGAGTTACCGCGACAGGGACTAAAGCCCGGGACCTTCCGTTTATGAGTTTGACGGGCAATCGTCTGAGCAACCTCGGTCTGAACTAGCGTGTGTTAAACTCCTTGCTGATTCGTGGCAATTCGCAGTTAGAAAAAAAGACTATCCTTAGCCAAAATCGAACCCAGCACTGTGTCATGGCACCAGCGTAAGAAAATCGTGGAGTGAGGTGAAAGGAAGGAATGAACTTCCTTCATCATTCCTTGATTCGATGCGCATCGTCTAGCGTCTGCTAGGCGAGGTTACTCACTTCCTCAAATTTGTGAAATCCTTTGAGTTATGACACTGCTGGTTCTAAAGCGCAGAACAACTGGTGAAGCATGGTGGGCGATGAGATGAAAAATTCTTCGCATAAAGCCGCCGTCGATGACTTCCTAAC